ATGCTATAAAATAGTATGATTTCTGCCTTATTCAGTGATACGAAACCACGTCTGATCACAAAAATAAGTTATTTCAAACACGCGACTATGTTATGAAGTTAATATGGAGAAAAAGCATTTCAATACATTAAAATATCTTTGTTGGACAACAGGTTTGTAAACGACTCATACACATGTAAAACTGTGTCGCACACGTGCTACTGTAGTACATTTACTCAAGGCTCAGACCGATTTTTGTCGCACTGTACAGCCCTATCTAAACCTGTTCCAGATTGTAGAAGGAGCTGCTCAATTTCAAGTCCACTTTCCTTCACGTCACTCCACACAGTCGTACACAGAAATATGTCAACAACTAGACTTTATCGTTATTATCGCAGGAAGACGAATTCTTATCGTGTGGAGAATTTTTACTGGTATATCGCAAACTATAAGATATCGCCCATCCCTAGTCTTATCCATATAAACCACAGGAAAAACATGGTACAAAATGGGTCAAAAATATGGTTCATTGTAGGTATAATGATTAAGCATTACACTTTTTATAACCAACCTCTGTCAAATTTAACACAACCCTGAACAATCACCGACAAACACACAAGAACTGGGCTGAGAGTTCAAATGGCTCATTCATCTGTATTGTCCCATACGTCAAGCTCATGGCATGGGTCTAATAATAAAAAAATTGGTACAGTAAAAATGTTCAAAATAAGTACTTTCAAAGTGCATTACACTATGTATCATATCCCTTTACCACCGTTAACACATGCTCAAAAATGATAAAGAAATTCCAACCCGAATTGGGCAAAAAGTGCAATAAATGGCTCATTCTGTAGCTTGCCATGCCATATGTGTGTCGAATGTGTTGCGTCATTTAAGGTGGAAACGCAAAGCGTCAATAAGCAACAGCGAATAAATGGCTAGTGAGGAAGGTGATGTGTTTACTGATCTTGTGAGCAGTGACCCCAGCCATGGTGGCTGTTCTGGAAAGCATGATAGCAGGTGAGCTCAAGAAAGGACTAGGCATGGGCCGATTACTGGTTTAAAGGTATACCGCGATTCGAACATTTCATGGTTTCAAAACCACTATGCACTAGGGCTGCACGATATATAGTTTCAGCATCGATATCGCTATGTGCACATCCGCAATAGTCCCATCGCAGGATGTGCAATGTTTAGCATAGGCTACTGATCGTTATATTTATACTGATTGTTTTCTTTGCTCACACACAGACACTGTGTCTACACCGGACGCGACAGCTGTACAGAGATACCCATTTTAAACACATTTAGTAGCAGAGCTACTGCATGCGATTTTCAGTGGTCTAAATCCATTTATCCTGTTGAAACTTCGGCGGCGGCGTGGAGAGCGCAGGTCACGGTTGCTTAGCAACGGCAGACGCCACGAAAGCGCAAGCTCCCGAGTGCTTTGAAAAGAAGGAGAAAGCGGAACGACTGGCGTTTTCCCACACATTTTTAGGCACGACATGTGAACGGCCCCAAAGTCTGTCTACACTGGACGCAACAAAGCGACCATTGCCAATCTTTTGAACTTCGTATCAGTATGTCATTAAGGGCCTGTTTACACCTGGTCACTTCATGCGTTTTTTTTCTGATCGGATAGCTATTTGATCGTGAAAAGACCAGGTGTAAATGCCCTCCGAAACGCATTCGAGACGGATATAAATCCGATCGCTCAAACCACTTCAGGAGGCGGTCTGGGACGCAAGTGTAAATGCATCTGGCTGTTGAAACCACATATGCAAATTTTACTCCTCCCAAAACGTTAAAATAATAAACTTGTGAGAGCGTGTTATAGGCTATATGGCATTATAGTCAGATATGCCAGCGCTAATGCAACACGCATTGCAGTGGACGAGTAGCTGAGCATCTCTTCAACAAGCCGACGCGCAAACTGTCGCGAATGAAACAAAGTAAGACGCAGACGCTCAACACACAATCATCTTCATTTAAAGTAGTGTGACTAACCTATCTTTCCAGTTCTGATGCTGCGTGCTCTCCTATTGTGGGCTTTGATCTTGAAATTATAATTAATAAAAATGCAGCGCTTATCTTTTGATTTAGTTGGCGTGAACTCCTTTCAATTTAAATATAGCGCGGGAATTGAAGATCGGATTGATATCCGTTTTGCAACAACACGTTTATGTGGCCAAGTGTAAAAAGAAACATTTTAACAAATAAGATAGATATACAATCAGCGAAAACGCATGAAATGACCAGGTGTAAACAGGCCCAAAGAGAACGCGGCATCAGTTTACTGTCGGGGGTTGGAGCTAAACTCTGCAGGAAAGTGGATCTCGCGAGCCAGATTTGAGGATCACTGATCTACTTCAAAAGCTGCAGGACAGATACAGAAACAGATCAAACAAAAGAATCAAATTACTGTTCCAAATATTCTGTATGTAGCTTAAAAATAAAATATTCAATTAAAAAAAAAAAAGTTTTTTTTTTTTTACCCAGACATTTAAAAATAAGTCATTTTAGAGCTGTAATCGCAATACTGTGAAACCGTGATGTTTTTGCTTAAGGTTATCATACCTTCAAAATCTCATACCGGCCCTTGCCTAAAAGAAACAGTGTGGAAAGAACAAAAGTTACTCAAACTTACTCACGTGTCCATCTGCACCAAAGAAATCTGCTCAGTGCCATCTGAACTCTAGAAATCTGCCTTTTAAAGAAATATCTAATCTTCTGGATGAACGACATGCTGTATTGCCTTAATTCTTGCAATTGTTTTAGTAAGATCTGAATCGATTAAAACAGAGCGTTTCTGAGCCCTGCTACTCAGACACTGCTAATTTTGGATGTGTTCACAATGACAGATACAGAAACAGATCAAACAAAAGAAACAAATTACTGTTCCAAATATTCTGTATGTAGCTTAAAAATAAAATATTCAATTAAAAAAAAAAAAGTTTTTTTTTTACCCAGACATTTAAAAATAAGTCATTTTAGAGCTGTAATCGCAATACTGTGAAACCGTGATGTTTTTGCTTAAGGTTATCATATCTCGCGAGCCAGATTTGAGGATCACTGATCTACTTCAAAAGCTGCAGGACAGATACAGAAACAGATCAAACAAAAGAATCAAATTACTGTTCCAAATATTCTGTATGTAGCTTAAAAATAAAATATTCAATTAAAAAAAAAAAAGTTTTTTTTTTTTTACCCAGACATTTAAAAATAAGTCATTTTAGAGCTGTAATCGCAATACTGTGAAACCGTGATGTTTTTGCTTAAGGTTATCATACCTTCAAAATCTCATACCGGCCCTTGCCTAAAAGAAACAGTGTGGAAAGAACAAAAGTTACTCAAACTTACTCACGTGTCCATCTGCACCAAAGAAATCTGCTCAGTGCCATCTGAACTCTAGAAATCTGCCTTTTAAAGAAATATCTAATCTTCTGGATGAACGACATGCTGTATTGCCTTAATTCTTGCAATTGTTTTAGTAAGATCTGAATCGATTAAAACAGAGCGTTTCTGAGCCCTGCTACTCAGACACTGCTAATTTTGGATGTGTTCACAATGTACCTGACAGACCATGGTGAATAAACCCTCTCCCCTGGGAGGGAGCAATCTACAATTCATGAAATGCTAAATATTTAAGTATTGCACCATTAAACTTTAAGTAACACTGCATATAAAATAAAACCTCTGACCAGGAGTGATAGCAGTCTGACTGAATTACATCAGTGAGTTTTGGTGACAGACTAAAAGCCTTTAGACACAGTATTAGATAATGTTGACATTTTGTGTGAACTTCATCTTCAAAAATAAAACTGATCTGAACGATGCATTTTCTTGTGCATGTCAGATTCCAACAAACTATCAATTAAAATAAATGAAAAAAAATTTTTTTACAGTGTTAAATTTGTATTTACTTATTGCCCCCTTATTTATTTTAGGTATAGTTCCAGAATGTTACTACCATATTTAAATATGCTAATTATTTTAATTATTGTATTTCATAACTCTAACAGTTTTGAGGATACTTTACTCTAAAAAAAAAAAACCGCCACGTAATTTTCAACATGTTTGCCAGATCTAACAGCAACTGACTTGTCATAAAACTCATAAAGGGGCATTACAAGGTTCTAAGCATGTGAACATTTTCATTTTCATGTTGCAATTAATTGCTAATGCTTTTATCACGGTATACAGTATTATCAAGATATTGAAATTTAGTTGGAAAAAACATTTAAATACAATAAAGCTATACACAAAAATAGTATAAAGTCAATTTCACACAGATTAAAGTGCAAAAAAATTATAAAGACCAATAGTTAACACTTTACAATAAGATCTCATTAGTTAACCTTAGTTAATGCACTAACATTGACAATGAGCAATAGCTACATTTGCTACAGAAGTTATTAATCTTTGTTAAACAAAAAAATACAACTGTTAATTCATGTTAGCTTGAGTTAATTAAATAACACAGTAGCAACTTTTGATTTGAACGTGTTATTAAATATTGAAATGAACTAAGATTAATTAATGTTTAGAAGAATTTTTCATTGGCAGTTTATGTTTAACAATAAAAAATTAACTAATGTTAACTAATGGGGCCTTAATGTAAAGTGTGACTGAACAATAAAGAATCAAAACATTTTCAAACAATATCTAGGGCATGTTGTAGTCCAGATTAAAATGTAAAAAGTTTGAAAATAAATAGCCTATTAGGCCTAAATATGCAAGTATTTGGCGCTGTGATGAACACCATAGCGAATACACAAATCTGAATAGCTGTTTAAATTATTTAAATAGGTTTCAGAAAGTAGGGCTGCTCAGCTGCTTTGTTTCCGGGGTAACGGCTGCATTTCTGCTGTTCAGCGCCACCTGCTGTCAGAGAGTGAATGTGCGCTTTCATTCAGCACCTCACGCGCTTCTCATCCATGCTTGTTTACACGAGTGCGCAGCGGTGTTGTGCATTGTGACCAGAAATGCATTCAAAAAAGCTGAATAATTTGTAATAAATAATTATTCACGGTATTTTGAAGTGCCTATGATAACAATATTGTGCATGTTCATTATCGTGATAGATCACAATACCGAATACCAGCACATGTCTACAAGGTGCACATGATCTAAGTTGATGTTATTTTTTTTCCTCTGAGAGTTCACCATTTTTTCTTTTACCTAAACAATCTTATGTAATGGAGGACATCCAAAATATGTAGCACTGGGGGAACTCCCAACAGCAGGATGGACAAACACAGACGAATGTGTGTGTGATCAAAGAACAAATGGCATGAGTTTGTTTCAGGACTCTCAAACCACTATCAAGCTGACCTTGACTTTTCAGCACAAGTGAGAGCACAACACATACTTGCAAACCTCCCAAATGCTCTCACAAGGTTAAATCTACCTACTTGGCTTACTGACTCTTTCTATTCCAGCTTTAATGACATGACGCTTCATTAACATGTTGGTATCTATTGCACACAATGATTCTCTGTCATTGTAAGTGCATAAAACGTAATAAACGTTTAACTGACCCTTGAACTTAACAAAAATAAGGACTATAAAAAATATCAAAATGTTTGTATTTCAATAGAATTGAACATCATTACCCAATGTCATATTTAATGCACACTTGAATATGAATAAGAAAGCAACAGAAACTTGGCTGAAAGTTCATATAACAGTGATGTTGTATGAATAGTTCTTTTTGAACTAATCTTTTAGGTGAATGAATCGTTCTCGTTGACGTAATCCATTGCCTCATATTTCTTGTTCACTGAAATCCCTCCCTCCAGAGCAGCACATGCGCAGCTCAGTGAACCGGGTAGCTCTGTGGACTGTTAATCCCGTTGGTTAATCCTGTTAAAGAATGGCAAAACCTCGACCCAACAGCCTTCGAGTATGAGATGTGATGCAGCATGTGATTTATTGAATCTAGTGATCGAATACGCCATTCACTGACCGAGTTGCTTTCGAGTCTGAACATGATCTTCTCGCTCTTGAATGATATGACTGAACTGGTACATGTCGTTCTTGAACGAGTTCAGCGAACTGGTACATGTCATTCTTGAACGAGTTCAGCGAACTGGTACATGTCGTTCTTGAACTAAATAAATGTGTACCGGGTAGGTCGGTCATTCAGCATGTGAGTCAATCGGTTTCAGCAATCAGCAGAAAGCGGATGCAAAGTGCAGTTATAGGTACTGTGCACATCTGCTTGTTTACATATTCATATTTAACATACAGAACATAACTCCACGTTTAACATAATCCCAGATTTATGAATGTGTAAACGTCTGACCAAACAATTAAAATGTTAATTATGCAAGAAAACCTTGTGCTTTGGTCATCTGAACCTCTTGGTACAAAATGGTTCATTGTTGGTATACTGATAAAGAATTGCACTTCTTATCAACCTCTGTCAAATTTAACACACACAACCTTGAACACAACGCTCACAAGACCTGGGCTGAGAGTTCTAATGACTCATGGGTCAAGATCATGGGTCCAATAAAATAGAAGGGGGGGAACTATGCATGTGCTCTAAGGTCGGTGTCAACACGAAGATCCAACTCATGTTTTGAGCCTAAAGACACCCCAGTCTCAAAATAAACCTCGATCATCAGGCCTGATCATCCACTGCTGTCTGGATGATGATTATGATATTCGATGCCGCAAAAACACATAAAAGCATGCTCATTAAAATATGCTAACACAGTTAGCCGCATTTTTGATTAAACAAGTTCTAATGTCAAAACACAAGCTTAGGAAAACGTTCGGAAGATAGGCCTGGAGTTTTGCTCCACTTTATGCGGACATATTCCGTTCTTCATTATATTTAGCAGCCTGTAATAGTGTGAGAGAGATTACTTGTTGATATGACTAACGTTAGCTGTCGCGTTAGAAACGCCAAACGAAATGATAAAACCATAACAACTCTGCGATTTTTCTTTTAACTTACATAAACTATCTCAGATCTCTACTGGTCAAACTAGGTGTAAACAAACTAACGTTATACGTTTAAAAAAAAAAGAGCTCGGATATGAGCGTGTTTTACCTGCTGCTGACAGGACTCGCGAGCTGAGGCAGATGCTGGCGTGCACGAGAACCGGTTGGTCGGCACTTGTTGCCAACTCTCGCAAGATAAATACGCAACCGCAGCTTAAAAATATATATTTTTCAATATTATTTATCATCAATATTATTTATTAGCAATTATTTATTACCAATAAATGAACATGCAACATATTAAACTGAACCCACTCTTTTATCTGAAAAGCAAAAACATATGTTATTTTATAAAAATCAGCAAGCTGCAACAAAGTGAGAACAAAACTCATCTCCAATCACCAGTGAGCAGAATAGGATTGGGGAGATAGAAAAGGGGAACTGTAACATAGCCATATATTTATAGCCTACTAAAATATAGGCTATTCGAACCAAATGTGACTATATATAGTTTTAGTATTAGTATAGGACTACTTGTTTTTTATTACAGCCCATGATAATTCATGCATTACAAAAACATTGTAAAAATTAAAAAATTAGGCTAAAAGAAAGTCATCCCACTCCTCTGTGAGCAGACAGAAACCGCAACCCGGGATTTTTTCACGCAACTTTACAAAAAAAAGAAGCCCACAGTCGCGTATAATACGCGGACTTGGCAACTATGTTGGTCGGGGACACTCTGCGGCGGGCGCGTGCAAGCAAGCACAAAATAAAAAATAAAATTCGGGTAAGTATAATTGAATGAACATAAATACATATTTAAAACTAGTACACATTAGTCTTTGTGTAGTAAGTAATAATGTTCTAATTAAACCAGGGGTGTCAAACTGCAGAGTTTAGATTCAAACCTAATTAAACACACCTGATCCAACTAATCAAGTCCTTCAGGATTATTTGAAAACTATATGGTATGTGAGTTGGAGCAGAACTCTGCAGGGCTCCGGCCCTCCAGGAATTGAGTTTGACACCTCTGCTCTAAACAATGTGATATTAGGGCAGGAGTCACCAAACTCTTGTCCAGCAGAGTTTATCTCCAAGTTCTCCAACCCTAATCAAACACACCTGAACCAGCAAATCAAGGTCTTACTAGGTATATTTGAAACTTCCAGGCAGGTGTGTTGAGGCAAGTTAAGGCGAGCTAAACTTTGCAGGGCACCGGCCCTCCAGGACTGAGTTTGGGGACCCCTGTATTAGGCAAACGCAGGATGTGCCATTACTGTAAATGCTCTTTACCACCAGCAGGTGGCGTAGATGAATAATGGTTTCTCAGCAAGCACATTCTTCTTCTTCTTTTTGTTCAATGGCCGTTCACTTCTTAGGAGTATTACCGCCACCTACTGTATATCTTGCGCACATGGGTGATGAATCTGTACTGAAGAGAAAAAGAAAAGAAAAAGAAAAAACAACTTTTTCTAATGCCCCACCCAGCACCCACCCCAGAGGATCAGAGCCCAAGCTTCAGCTGGCGCTGCGTGTTCAGCTCATCCAGCTCCTCCAGCTTCCACACTGTGCTCCTCAACCTCCGAGATGGGCAGAAGCATCATGATCCTCATCCTCAAACATTAAATCCTGTGGTCTAATCCTGTAAACTCT